TAAAAATAACCTTTTAGGATTTTATTTAGCAGGTCTACTTTTCAGCCAGATAAGCTACCTGATTCACTTGTTAGTTACATGGGCTTTTGCTGTGAACAAGCATCCAGGGACAAGAGATTAGAGGCTGGGAGTGAGACAGGGGACTACTTTCATTATCAGAATTGTTAGTTTAAATGTACATGAAAGTACAGGGAACTTGACAACTGAGACAGTAACTACTGTCATAAATTATCTGTATATTTTTGTTATCACTTGCCTTTTAGCTCCCAGAGCTCTGCCTCCTCTCTGAGCCACCAACCTCTCTCAGTCTGAGACTTTTGCCAGTATATATGCTTTCTGTTCCTCCCATACTCAGCTTTCTCACAAAAAAGGTCTACCCATCACTGAATTTTCCTGTAATTAAACAGAACAGTCTTTCAAAGGAAAGTATGAAGCCTACATGATCACAAACAGCAGGGAATGTTTGGAAAACAATGCTTCATCTGGATGCAGTAAGCTTCATTTATTTTTTTTTTGCCTCTCTATTTTTGTTTTATACTGTTGACTCCAAGTTTTAATGACAGAGATATTTTAAGCATTCCTGACCTAGAAAAGTACTAAGAATAAGAGAACTTTTATAAAGAAAACATTGTCCATCTGAAGGGAAACTCAGTGTATGCTCCACCTAAGTGAGCTATGCACATTGCTTATGAACAGCAGATAACTTTTCAGACCAAAAAGAACTGAATTTCCAGAAGCCAGTGATAACACTTACAAACAATCAGATAGGCTGTAGGATTCAACGGGCCTGATTAAGAGAACAGTAGTGGGATTCATGGCCAGAATAGATGCCACAGAGCAAAATTCAGCTCAGGTGGAAAATACTCACACAAAACATATTAATTTCTGTGCTTATCAGGGACAGTAACAAGATGTCCAATGGAGACAGAGTCTAAAGCTAGGATTAAAAACCTCCTTGAGATGTAATCTGAGCAAATTGCACAAGTCTAACAAGAAAGCAACTTCCCTTTCTTTTCCCCAATGACGTGTCATTTCTATTTTAGGAACAATTACTGTGCCCCATATAATGACCAGGAAGCAAATAATTTAAGACTAAAATGCATCCTCAATTACGTCAGTGCTTATACCAATATGCTTAGCAGGTGTGACAACAGAGTTAATGCAGTTCCACACTGGCATAGGAAAACAAGTGCCAAATATTGCTGTGGCTGTAGCAGATAGATTACATAGAAGCTCATGAAGGTTTGGTCTTTTTAAGTAAAGCAAGTAAGCAATGTAATACTAGAAATCACAATAGATAATTCTGACAAGTACATTGGTGTGAGCAGCACCACATTAACAGTGTTTGTGTTTGCACTTGCAATACTTTCACAGCTACAAGATGTCATCTGTGGCTATATGGCACTATTTTTGAGGCCCCAGAAATGTGAACATGTTAATCATGCAAATCTACCAAGTACTCCCTCCTCAACTGTTAAAGCAAAACCAGTAGTTGCATTAGCTATAAAGATCATAGCAGATATGTTCTATGAAAATTGAATACTCTTAAGAACCTAGGTTTTAGAAGAGCCAATAGCCAGTCTTCTATTTTGTAATCGCAAAGGCAAACTTCTGCAATGGTATGATTAAGTGATCTGGTAATTATCTTCTTGAATACAAGCAAAGTTGCATCATTTCACCCCCACCCTCGATCAACCTTGAGGTTCAGCTGCTCTGCCCTTTCCCCCAACCCTGCCAGGGTCCATCAGAGCAGGGTCGATCCCTTGATGAACAGGTTTCAATTTGGAATATACAACAGGGTGGACAAAGATTATTTACATGCCCTGGAAGGAAAACAAAGTAGACAGTATCGCTCTTCAAGTCTGTTTCACTACCCATGAGCAACCTGATCTAGTTGAATATGTCCTTCCTCATTGCAGGGGGGGTTGGACTAGATGACCTTTATAGGCCCCATCCAACCCAAACTATTCTATGGTTCTATGCCATAAGAACTACTACCCTGAAGGCATCTGACACTAGTCTGATATTATCTTCAATGTAACTACAAGATAATAGAAAAAGTACTTTTTCTGTTTTTTTTTTTTTTTAAATGAAGACTACAGACTGCACAGCTGCAGAACATATAGAAATTGGCAAAGAGAAACAAAACTCATACACACAGATAAATGTACCTAACACATTAGCTCCTAATATTCCTAGCTCCCTTTTGTGATTCTAGCCAGTAGTTCATGAGGTGCTCATAAACTCAGGGCTGAGGATCCAGCTACTCAATAACACCTTTAAACCACATTAACAGACAATGTTTCAGTAAAGGGAATCCTTACTTTCTTTTACAGTTCAATTTATCTTTGGTGATGGCTCTAATTTGCATCTCTCCCTTCCTTCACCTTAATTTGTCAGGAAAGTATTTGAACTTTTTCAAAGCAGGGGGAAGTAAGACAGCAGTTTTGATAAAAGTATTAGTGTTCCTTTACCACAGTCCAATTCAAGTATTGTCTGCCTGTGAAAATACCACAGAGATCTTACTTCACCTCCATAAAAATTAACAAGCAAGTAGTGATGAATAAAATCAATGAGGTAACTGTGATAATCAGTACATTGTTTTAATTATCATTCCAGTCAGGAATGCCTGGTGATCATTATGCCCAGCTTCACATTATAAGCTTTGACAGGGATTCATCTTACCTTCCTTCCAATAGTGTTGGAAACTATAGTTTATTTTAGAAAAACAAATATTCTTTGGCCAGTTCTCTCTTTAGCTCCATGTCTTTCACTGTAGAAAAGGGGTCAAAGTTCCTGTAGCTCATTATGGCATTAAAGGGAATATTATTATAGGTAATGACGTGTTACAATAAAGGCAACATCTATTTGCACACCCCTGTCCTCCCACCACTATTTAAACGGAATAAACTTTTAGAGATGCACTGGCTGACATCATCTCCTGAAGAAATACTATCTAGAATCATCCCATAATGAAATAGACAATAATGCATGATAGTCTCACAGTCTCACTTAATCTTTAATAATACAATGTTTTTGGCATGCTTGCTACTCAAAAAACGTCTCTCAGGCATCATCAATGTAACCAGCATTAACTACAGTATGCTGCTTACAGACCCTAACACTGACCGTAAAAATTGTGACTATTTTTGTTTTGGTTTTGTTCTTATTCGGTCGAATTCTCTTCATATGTACTTGATGTAAATTCAGAAGTTCTGTAATTTGCTTTTCCATCATGCCAAAAATTTTAGTCTTTAACTTTCAAGATGGTGTGTGAAACCTACAGCATATCCTTATGCCTTCTTCCCTCTGTTACATATAGTTTTATTTTGAAAGCACACAAGGTGGTCAAATGTAATAGCTACTCAAGGTAAACAGATTCATCCCCTATTCATCAATTTTAACAAATGAGCCAATTACTCCAGCAGTTCTGTCACTGCTGTGATTTCACTCTAAATCTCTAGTAAGAGTTCTACCACTCTAAATCTCTAGTAAGACTTCTACTGCTTTTACCTGGATAAGAAGTTAGCAATATCTGTATTTTCAGACTTTTGCTCTAAGAAAATATTTACAGTAGTTTCTACTTTCCAAGAAAGTTATTTTTGGCAAAGGTAGGTTTAATTTTTTTCTTTTAAAATTATTTTAGTAAACTGTGCTTGTGCCCACAGAAGAATTATTTTTATCAGTTACAAATAAACAAACCAATTGTGACGGAACACCAGGTCACAGTGCAACAAATTCCCAAATCCTTGTGGTGTACAGCACAGGGATAAACCAACAATCAAGAAGTAAAAAACAAGGAAAACAGAAATGCATTTAAAGACTAGTGGCAACATTATATGGATGTAAAGCACTGCCTACAATCATTGTATTATTACTTCTAATTCTGAAATTCCAGAAGACCAACACAACCATAACCTTTGGTGTTGATGACTTTTTCTGCACTGAAATTTTCCTGTGAAAGATCCCTCTAGAGTAAATCTGCAATTGGAATCCTCATCTGAGAAATCATCTCAGATTGTATCAGAGAATTCTGATGTGAATTTAGATGCATTTTTATATGAACAACAACAAAAAGTAAATACACCATCTCATCATGGTCACAAAAATTTCAGTAGAAAGAATACTGCATGAAGTTCTACAATCTACCTACATGCGCAGCGCTCTGCTTCTATGCAGTAAGGACGGGCATCAAAGAACTACTTAAGCCAAACTGGAATGGTTTCGCTAACAGGGGAAGACTGAGGACTCACTCAGGATTACTGAGAAACTAGCATTTGCCTCAACAATCCTTTTAAGCCTGCTCAAAGCCTGGATGCTAGCATAAGTGGAATTTTGTGCCAATTTGGTGCTTCCGGAGGAGAAGTAATTTTCAGAGAACAGAAGCCAATAAGGTAAAAAACTTTAGTGTCAGTGGGATATATAAAACAACACTCAGACTAGAAGGGTGTATGAAGCGAACATAAGTTAGTGTGAAAGTGACCCAACCCTGAGTATTAAAAAGAAAAAATAAAAAATTGTTTTCCACAAATTTGAGGTGAGGAGAATCTGCTGGAATCACATAGACACTAGAGCACTTAAATTGCTTTTGCAGCTGTTTTAAGAATGGCTTCACAGTATTGCTATCACTTAGTGAGGCCTGAGGGGTGGGGAAACAAAACATCAGTTTATTACTCACCTGTATTACCCAGAATGTGAGGCAACTACAAAAAAATGAGGACCAAGAATACCTCCTTCTGTCTGTGTCAGTGATCATCCTCACACACAGACTCCTTAGTGTCAGGGTATCTGGTTTTCAGGAGAGCACAGCACACTGAATTTGCAGTTATTTCTAATAACTTCTCCCCTCTCATGAACCCTATCCACTGTTTTTCAGAATACACTTCTCATTCTACTTAATATGGACAGCAAGGCATTGAAACATTAAATCATAATTTAAACCTGAAGTAAATAATATAGTAAAAAAAAAATAATTAAAATGTTAATAGAAAAATACATACCTTTTAAAAATCAGAAGTTACTCTGTAGAAATTTCCATTGTAGAGAATATCTTCCTTCCCTAAAAAAAAAAAGAAAAAAAAGAAACATCTTTATTGTGCATACTAATATTTAATTACCTAATAAAAACACAGTGAACTACTTCAAGACCTCCTTTTATCCCCCAGAAATAATTTCTCCTTATGGACAAGGATATGTACACTATAGCAAGCGCAGATATTGCACACTCAATAAGTTTTTGTTTGAAGTTCATTTTATTTTGAAATTCCCTTCTATGCTTGTTATCTAAGCAAAAGCATCATAGCTACAGACGAAACTAACATGTGGTATCTATTCTTCCAAGCATTTAAAACAAGAAAGTAACCCTAGACAATGGAGACCAAGAATGGAGAAGTATGTCAGGAGCAGAACCAAAAAAAATATATTTTATTCTGAGGTAGTATGACCTGATATAATCAGGTTTCTTTCTCATCCCAGCTTTGGGTAAAAAGTAAATTATGCTATCATTATTAGCGCTAAAGCATACTTCCCCCATTGCTTTTGCCAACACTTTAGAGGATGAAAGCATCAACTAATTCAGTGACGTTCACTATTTCTGTCTTTCCCCCTTTATTTGTTTGAGGTAGGGCTTGGCAGCACAGGGGCATTCCACACTTCTGTGCTTCTGGGCAGCATAAGGGATTCATATCATTCCCTCAGCTCCAGACATTAGGGCAGCAATAGAGTCACAGCAGGGTCTATGACATTCTAGCATTTTCATCTGCTGCAATATATTCTGTGCATCATACAGTCAAGTGCTTCAAGGAAAAACTGACCTCTTCCCAAGCTTCCTCTGAGGAAGCACTTGTACAGATCTCCTGTGCCTGTCACCCCTGCATCAATAATACCAACTGCTCTGCTGTTGTTACTTCCCACCCCCTGCTTTTTTTTTTTTTTTTTTTAATGCACAAAACCAATTGATTTCTACATCTAAGTTATTTGTATGACAGCTCAAAATGGACATGAGCACATCAGCCACTCAACAAGCAAAGCAGCAGATTTACAGAAATTGGAACAAAACAGACAAAAAGAACATACAAAAAGCAAATCAAATCCAAATTTAGATTAGAAATGGATGTATTATAAGAGAAGGTATTTTCAAAGAAAAAAATAACAAGCATGTTCAGCAGTGAAAATAATATTAAATGAACTGCAGCACTTTCAAATGAATCTCTATCAAGAGCTCCTGAATGTTAGGACAGAAGTCATATTTTTCTCTCTTTCATTAAGGTTTGTCTTTTTTCCTTTAAAGTGAAAACAGATTAAAACCTAAAATTGAGAGGATGTACTAGGTGCATACTCAGGATTAAATCTGACCTGATATCTTTTAAGTCTTATGAGGTACAGAAGAAAAAAAAAAGGGGGGGAAGCCTCATCAAGATTAGAAACAGAGTCGTTCTAGAAAAAAAGTGTCTCAGCCAAGAGAGACTAGAGCATGTGGTAGGTCTAGCGTTTGCCTTGAAAACACACAGTCATGAAACGCCCCAAATAGTATACTAGAGAGACTGAGAACCACTGCAATCGCAATTGCGGCAATGAGAGCAGTTAAAGAATATAGTTTCCTGTTCTGCTGAATTCTCCCGAAGTTGCCAAAAACTTCCATTAGAAGAGAAGTTTTTCCAAAACAAACAGCAACTCTGAGAGGATGATGGCTAGGTATTTTGTTCTTATTAAATATTGACAGTGCAGTCTTCTAGTAAAAGACTACACAGTGCCTTTGCTTTTTTTTTTTTTTTTAAATGCCTCAAGCTCTCTCATTTTGCTAGTTCACTTCCAGGCTCTCCTCAGTAGCTCATAACTGCACGACAAGATATCATTGGATATCCACCACCTCACAGCTGCACACAAAAGTGTCCTTACACTCACTTCTGGGGTCAACTAAAGTCAACTTAATGCTAAAATAAACTCACTATTCGAAACATGTTTCTCTTGGAAAAACAAAGACATTACAAAAATATTTTCAAGCATACAAGCTACTCTGTTAGTCTGCAACAAGAGATACACCTCAGATATTTTTGTTCTTTTGCAGATTGTGGTCAAATTTCAACACGGTTACATCAGCATAAAATCCAGCACAGCTCCACTGAAATCAGTAGCATCGTATCATACCTAATGCACATAACAAAACCAGAATCTGTTTCTTAACTAACATTGATCTTCTACAGCTTTCTATGTAAAATTGCCATTGGGGTCTGAAATTTCTCATGTTCCATGTAAACAGATGAGTACAATCTCAAAAATTTAATGAAAAAAAATTGGTTTCTCTTTAGTTATACAAACACCTAAAATCTTTTCACTAGTTAAGTACTTGTTCGGAAGCTTGTTTGTGTTCAAAATCTCCAATGGCCCTTTTAGTAAGACTATAATTTTTTTGAGGGAAACACTTAGAGCCAGAGTCAAGTCTCAGTTACACAGGCAGAAACACCGAGCAATCTGTAATTCCCAGTAACCTAACTACTGCCACGGGAACGGATGGCAGCTGCAGCCTGAGCTTTATCCTTCATTCCAGAGTTGCTTGTAGAAGCTTAAATAGAAAAAATCCTACAATTTTAATTTTTGATATCCACTTTTTTGCAGAGGATCATTGCTTTTATGTTCCTCACTTCCTGAGCACCTAACCAGATAGCTACCACAAAGCCTCAATTGCAACTGATCACTTACAAAAGTGTTAAGGCATCAGATTCTGAAGTTGCTAATGTTTATCATTGGCCAAAACAGATGTCTTAACTACTGTTCAGTAAGGCAAGACTTGTTTCTCAACTAGTCACCTGAACTTTCCTGACACCTTAAATATACCATATGGATTGCCCCCCCCCCCCC